ACTGATTGGCCGGTCATTCATGATTGCCTCTACTTCGTATGGAGCCGTTTGGAGACTCTCATAATCCAGGGTCTGTTCCCTTGTGATGGAGTAGAGGATCTTTTTCACTATCCAGATTAGCCGCTCCCATACGCCTCCATGATGGGAACCATAGGGAGGATTAAATGTCCATTTGATACCTTCAGCTTGAATCGAATGCTGGATCTTATTGAGGTCAAGGTGAGTAAGTGCTTCACGCAGCTCTCGTTCTGTACCAACGAAATTTGTACCATTGTCAAGAGAGACAATCTCCTTCACTTGGCCTCGTCTGCAGATAAATTGACGGAGTGCAGAAATGCAAGAATCTGTATCCATTGAGTAGGCCATCTCTAGGTGTACTGCTCTGCTTGCGAGGCATGTAAACAAGGCTCCATACCTCTTCATTCTGCAGCGGCCATGCTTGACTTCTATGGGACCAAAGTTGTCCAGTCCAGTATGGGTAAAGAGTGGCAAGTCAGGTGTTATCCTGTGTAGAGGTAGGTCTGACATTTTTTGTGTCATTGCTGTACCATGCCATCTCCTGCAGAGTACACAATCCTGTGTTATCCTTCTTGCAGCAGAGTTTGCTCTAATGATCCAATATTTTGTTCTGAGTTTTGCGATCATTTGATTTCTTTCACAAACGCAATGTGAGGTAGTCCATGGTCGCTAGTCAGTTTCAGATAGATGACCGTCCCATAACCTTGCTCGCTTGCATTGCAGAAGTGGTGCATCTGTGCGCTAGTAACTTCAAAATTTGGTGGCCTAAGGCATCTCCTGATTCTCAGGTCAAGGTCTTTCAGCCACTCCTTCCATTTGTTTGTGTAAGCAGTTGCAATCCCTTCATCCACAATTAATCTTGCACAGGTCCTGCAGTATTCCTTTCCCTGTCAGCATAACTGGTGCTAGGAACCCGAGAGGATCGTATACTGAGTTCAACACAGAACGTTCCGGTATTCTTACTTGATGGAACATTCCTTCGATGTCCCCCATCACTGCTACTGGTTATTGTCGGAATCTGAGGAATACACCCAACAAGGTGTTCGTAAGGTCAGGACCCTGCAGCAGCTCAGAGTTCAGGGAAGTTCCTTGAAATGAAGAGGTACAATCAAACACCACCCGGATCGTCTTTTTCCTTTTGTGGTAGACACCATGGTGAGGAATGTACCACAGTCTTCCATCTTTCCGGTGGAGTTGTTCCTCTGGCACTCTTTCTGCATGCCCTTTCCTTAATACATCATTCATGAAGCCATTATAATCTTTCCGAAAGGCTTCATCTTTCTGGAATCTGTGGGCAAAACTTAGTGCTCTTTGTTCCGCCACCTTCCTGTTGTTTGGCAGGCTGATGTTGTTCTGACGGAATGGAAGTTGTATTTCATAATGGCCATCTTTCTTTTTGACTGAGCTGTTCATCACATGCATAAATTGCTTGTCTTCAAATGAGTGTTCTTGGTTTTCATTGTAGGCCAATTCTGAGAAGTCCAGGTTATATTGGTGTACAAGGAGCTCTTCCAGCTTAACCACAGATATCTTGTTGGACATTATCCGTGGTCGACCATGCTCATCCATAGGTGTAGTACTGTAGTACTGTCGCTCGGAGTAAGATTTCAGTTTTCTTTCCTCTGACAGACAACTGTTCCATCAGTTTCACTGTGACGAAAGTAGCATTGCTTCCAGGGTCTAGAAACACATAGGTTTCTATCAAACAACTGCCTTTATGTGCTTTCATCTTTACAGGTACCACTGCCAACTTGTAGTCTGTGATTCTGTCTCCTGTTTGTGCTGCTGATGGTATCATAGCAATTTGTGCTGCTGATGAAACTTTAGCAATGCCATTGCTCCTGGTGTCTGGATCCTTCTTAGCTGCTGGTTTGGCATTTCCTGGGGTAAAGTTCTCCATATGTAAGACAGTGGGATGTTTCGTCTCACAGGAACGACACGTTTACATTCTTTACTCATATGACCTTTGACCAAGCAGGCAAAGCAGAGTCCATTTTTCTTTAGCAGCTCAACTTTGTCCTTGTGGGGAATCTTTGTCATTGCTTGATATGTTGCCATCACATGATCTTCTTTACAGAAAGCACAAGGTTTGATGAAAGCATCAATGGCTGTACGGATGCCCTCTGGCTTGTCCCCCTTTTTCCTAGCATTGGTGTTCGTGTTGGCTTCTGTCTTGGGAACTACAGCTGTAGCAAAGCTTTTCTTGCTGCTAGATCTCATATAAGGCAAGTCATTTTTGTATTTTCTCCCATTAGCAGTATCCTGGATATCTCCAAAGACAGGATCTTGAATTATTCTGGCTTGTTTTTCTATAAGCCGAACAAGGTCATGGAATTTAGGTCTCTGCTGCGTTCTTTCAATGATGTTACATACAGCAGACCGCCATTTCTCAAGAAGTTGAAATGGTAGTTTGGAAACAAGTCGTTTCATGTTAGATGGTAAATCCAGCTCTGACATGTATGGGAGGTCCTGAACTGCATTACCACAGCCCCTTAGATAGAGGGCGTAGCTGTGAAGTGCCTTTCCATCATCTGTGCGTATTAAGTTCCAGTTTAAGGCCTTTTCCATGTATGCCGTTGTGACTTTGAAGTTATCACCAAAGTGATATTTTAGTAGGCGCTTTGCTTCATCATAGCCTGTTGTTGCACTTGTGTGAAAGCAGCTTTGCACTAGTTCCTTTGGCTTACCAACAGTATACTGTTCCAGGAAAATCCTCATTATTGTTGAGTTTTTCCTCGATCTTATGCATGAAAGCCTTTCATATAATGGCTCGGAAAGTGGAAGGATCACCGTCACAACACCAGCACTCCCTTCTTGGCAGTTTAGTTTAGCTTCTTTCTGCTGCATCACCAGCAGATCTGCCAAGTCTGTCTGTCTTTGCATAATATTTGTAAGATCAAGGCTCTGAGCTATTTCACTTCTGCGAGTAGATTGGTCTCGTCTGTGTGGTCCCTCAGAGACAACAACTCTGGTTGTATGAGGGTTTGTTGTAGCCCTTGGTGGTTGCTCAGGCTTTTCTGTGATTCCAGTTAGTGGTGAGTACCGAGTGTGTATCATTTTGTAAGGGTGTTTTAGGTATAGTTCCTATGCGTGCAAACTCCAGTTGTTCTAGGCTTACTTCTATTTTGTCAGATACATTTATTTGTTCCTCCATTTGTTTTCCAGATTCTTCACCTTCAGATTCCTCCAGAGCCTTCAACCTTGCATCAGCTGCAGCAATATCTGCTTTCAAGTCCAGAGATTCCATCTTCAAACCCAGCTGATGCTTTTCCATTTCCAGTTCATGTTTCTTTTTAAGAGCTTCAGCTCTGGCCTGTAGAGCAGCTTTGTCTGCAGCAGCCTTCATGCGTACTGAAGCAATGGATGAAGATTTTGAACATTTAGAAACTTTTGAACCCTTTGAACCAGTCTGTGAGATACTGTCCCCAAAATCCACAAGAGTTTGTGGGTCAGGCTGAGGTTTTATCCATTGATCTACCTCAGTCAGAAAAGCATCATAATCAGCCATTTTTGGCTCATACCAGTCCAAAGTTTCATTTATTCTCACATCCTCAGGCAGCAGTTTCTGAACAGCTTTATGACACCTTTTAAATTCATCCAGCAGTGCGCATTTGCACTTTCATTGATATTGGCAACATCAACACCTTCTTTCATCATTGTTTTTATTTCATTCATTTTCCGTGTACAGTACAATGTGAAAGTTTCCCTCTGAGTGATTTGAACGCCTCCCTTTGTTGCGCAGCGTCCATTTCAGGAACACCGGCTTTAGTGACTCCACGTTCAGTTCCTTCTGCCATTGTTTCACTTTTCGTTCTCAGCCTTTAATATTCATTTGTACAGGTTTTTTTTCAAATAAATCTGACGGCTTTTGTTTGAATATTCGTTAGTATTTCGGTTATTTATTTATATATTTTATCCTTTCACGCGCACAGCCGTGCTTTGTTTCCGTTTCAGTCCGTTTTATTGGTCATTTAGTCACTTTATTTCCGTGAGCGTATACTTTATTTCAGGCCTTTTTCTGCACTTTGTTTCGTATATTACATTTTATTTCCATCTGCTCGTGATATTTGGCTCACATGGCTACATGGCTCATTTACATCGAATCGAAGAATTCAGTTGGTTGCAATCTGCAAAAGTAGTGCCCTAAATGCCACTAAATCCTACACACTGGTCCTTTAAATGGTTGCAGGTTTTTTTTTTTTTTTTTGCAGTAATGTCATGTTGTCTGATGCCACTCAAATCAAACAACAACAACAAGCTGTGTCAAACTTCACATTCAGAGGACATTGAAAGGACATCTGTGTTTAGGTGTTCGGTAACCTGTGCAAGACTAGCCATAGGTAGAAACATCAGCATCACTGCTAGCATATGAATATTGATTAGTGTGATATTGCCCACATTGTGAGTGTGTGTGTGCAAACTCCTTTCTCTCTCTGAGGTGAACAGCGATGGTCCAGACACGGTGAGAGAGAGAGAGAGGGAGAGAGAGACAAAGAGAAAGAAGAGATGAGAGAGCATAAATAAGTGATGGGATGTTGAAAGGGTGCTGTATGTCTGTAGGGTTATCTACAGGGAGACTGTCCTTTAAACACACATACACACACTCACACAGAGAGAAGAGGGGGGTGGAGGGGCTCTTAGCCTTTACTGAGGCGCTTCGCCTGTCAGCACATATCTGCCTCAAAGCAACATGAAGAGCTAAGAGCAAGATGAAAAAAATGCTGGAGCAGAGGAAAAGACTAACTCTAGAAGGTGTTAGGGGGTGAGTGAGCTAGAGTTGATGAGAGAGAGACAGAGAGAGGGAGGGATGGAGGGGGCTTGTCATCCTTTCTCTCCCTTAAAGACGGATCTGAACGATCTCTCCTCTCAGTGGCACCACAGGGCTGAGGAGGAAAGCACTGGAAACATTTGTCTCTCTCGCTTTAGCTACAGTGTCTGTCTCACTCACTCACCCGTGCACGCATCCCTCACTCTCCCTCCAGGTGATCACTCCGTTCCGTAGGCTCATCCTCTGTGCCGAGAACAGAAAAGAGATGGAGGACTGGATCAGTTCGCTGAAATCCGTCCAGTCCAGAGAACATTACGAGGTAAGAATCCCCTTTTTCCAAATCAACAGACGGACAGAACTGTGCGAGTTTGTGTGTGTGTGTGTGTGTGTGTGTGTGTATGGTGGGGAGGGGGTGAAAAGAGATGGGGATTGTAAAGAGATAGTGCTGCAGAAAATAGATAGGCAATAGATCTGTGTTTAGGCAAATCCTCTTTTGGAGATTTGGACAGTGATGCATTCTAGCCGAGGATGCTGCTGGAAGTGAATGTATCCTGTTAGTGTGGTTTGGTTACAGAAATAAGTCCACATAGATGGGTGTGTAAAATGTAGCAGGAATAAAAGTTGCATGCTGTGTGGCATATACAGTAACACGGAAGGCAACTGGGGATTTAGGAAGTTGTTAATGCAGAAGGAACACACATGGACCCACATGTACAGTAACAGGTGTACAACCCTATAGTCGGAGGTACAGTAAAGCAGTTGAATCAACACACACACCAGACACATGTTGATCGTCACAAAGCACATGTCGGAATTCGTAACATCCCAGTTCCTTTCCCCCTTACGACTGATAAAAACACACAAAGCATTGTTTTGTCTGCTGTCCAGTCACTTCACCACAACACTCATTTTAATTGAAGGCATTGTTTCTGGGAGAATCTAGAAAACAGGCAACAGCATGACTGTCGACTTGTGTGCCAGTTTTTCTAATCCAACCAGCCATAAACGTTCAGAATGTTCCACTGTCAGCGAAAGTAAATACGGACTGTGTGTTGAAAGTGGTGGCTCGTGGCCAGCGCAGGGAGAAAGCAGCACTGCATTTTAATGGCTTTGATTTGGGAGGGAAATCTTATATAAGACCCCATCCCCTCGCGCCCTTACTGCACTGCAATGCAGCAGCACCCCCAGAGCTCAAACACCACAGGGTACATACATGTGCACACATGAAACGTGCACGCGCCCCCACCATGGATGTCTTGGTGAGTGTCCCACTTTCATAAGCACCTGTTCTACTTATGAAAGACAAACTGTATCAAGGGCTGCGCCAACTACTGCAGACGCAACGCCCACACTTGTACAGTACTTGCATTAGCTTGCCGTCCACAGTGGGCTCTCTCCGTATACTGATGTGGAGAGAAGCATCCAATTTTCCTGACCAGGTGTCACTTTTATAAAATCATGGAGCAGCAGAGCACTAATGACTGTCAGCTAGTAGAGTCCTCATGTACGTCCTGCTGTCTTCTTTCCTTATGCCAGGTAGTGAAGCTCCTACAGAGTAGTAAGACCAGACCTTATGGGGGGAAGTGAATCATTATGATACAGGAATGAATGAACTTGTTGAAAACATGTTGACTTGTGTTTATAGTTGGAAACCAAGGCTGCAAATAATGATTATTTTCATGATTAATAAATCTGTCAATCAATTTCTCGATTAATCGATTAGTTGTTTGGGTCCTCAAATGTCAGAAAAGGGTGAAAAATATTGATCACTTTTTCCCAAAGCCCAAGGTGGCGTTCTCAAATGTCTTGTTTTGTACTAGGACTGCTTGATATGGTAAAAACATCATATTACCATTATTTTGACAGATACAAAATATGATTCACAATTAGTATATGAATGATTATTTGTGTATTACAAATAAAGTTTTCACTGGAAAAAATGTTGATGATATTTCGATTAATTGTGCAGCCCCATTTTGTACACGACCCAAAGATATTCAGTTTCGGCTAAAGAAACCACAAAATATTCATGTTTATAAAGATGAAATTGGGGGGGCCCCCAATTAGCTCAGTTGGTGGAGCTGGCGACCCATGTACAGAGTTGCTGGAGTGGCCCAGGGTTCGAATCCGACCTGTGGCCCTTTCCTGTCTGTCTTCGCCTGTCACTATCCAATAAAGGGCCAAAAAAATGAGTGAAATTAGAGAATTTAGATTTTTTTTTCTTAATGACTTAAAAAAATTGATTATCAAAACAGTTAGCGATTAATTTAATAGTTGACAACTAATTAATTAATGGACTAATTGTTGCAGCTCTCCTGGAAACAGGTAGACAAATGTTTTTTTTTTTATTTTCATGTTCAGCTTGCAATTAGACTGAAAACAGCCAGTAATGGTAGTATGCAGTCATCATTTCATATGTTATATTTTATTATCATAAAGTGCACTGTGCTTACCTTTCTGTGACTGTCATCCCAGTGCTGCCAACCTGTTTTAACCTCTCCTTTGTCAGACGGCACAGTTTAATGTGGAACATTTCTCAGGGATGCACAACTGGTACGCCTGCTCCCATGCACGGCCCACCTTTTGCAACGTCTGTAAAGATAGCTTGTCCGGTGTCACGTCTCACGGCCTCTCCTGCGAAGGTAGGTAGCACACACTGCACACGCTTTACTGTCAAACACATGAATGCTAATTTCCAGATTTGTTGTCGACGTATAGACACACAGTGTTTTCTTACATAACACCCTTTTAATCCATGGCCCGTTTTGAAGCAGCTCTCACTCGTTTTTACATTTCATTACTGGCTCATAGATAGATTCCTCCTGTCTGTTTAAAGAGCAGACATACTGTTGCGTTGCAGCAGATCATTTCAGGCTGCAAGCACTGCGAGCTGGCAGGTCTATAGCTACTCTGAGAAGGTATATATGTTGCATAATGACTTGTGAGTAATTTAAGAACACTTTTTGTTCAAATGTCTGCCTTAGTGGAGCAGGTTGGATATATTGAAGCCAGCATGAGTCTTGAAAATGCTCTGGGCTGTGGAGTGGGGTGTCCATCAAACTGTTAGCTTGAAGTAGAGCTTCCATTAACACTGCACATACCTATGAATTATATGTCAGCCTGTATCAATAAGCCTTTATGTCACACTGTGCATTAGATAAGCATGGACTCAAGCTATTTGAATTTTTATTTTAGCAATTTCACGTCTCTCCATTTACCCATAAAAAACTGTTAATGGAACCTGTGAATGACGCCACATCTCCTCACCTTATCTGTGAAAGAACAGTGAAGTGGGGTGTTAAGGGGAAGGGGGTTGACATGGGAGGTTGACACAAATTTTTTTGCCTTCCGTTTTCTGGTGTGAAATGTCAGTGACAGGCAGCAGACCTTAATGAGCACCATCTGCATATCCTCCCGTTCTAATTATGCTAACGTTCCCCTGTGAGTGAGTGCGCGTGTACATTTGCACGTGTCACAGTCCGTCCTGTAGATGTGTGCTTGGTATAAGAGCCTCTCCACTCAGTGCTTATTATCTTCTACAATGAGGCCCTCTCATATCCAGAAGGCAATAGGAACAGACATAGAGAGATGGAGAGAAAGAGGAAAGACCAAAGCTTATGATCTAAATCCTGCTCCACACATAAACACTCTAAGTCCCGCCCCTTTTCACTCTGCTCTAATCACAGCTGAGCAAGCCTCCGTCAGAACCTAGGTCAGCTTTCTCTTTCCTGTACTTAGATATGCTATGTGCTAGGCTAATCTATGTTGAAAAGACAACCACATTTATTTTGAAAATGGTTAAAAGATAAAAGTCACATCTTAAGTTAGCAAATGGTAGCAAAACTTGCTAGCTAGTTATATCTGATAACTATTTTTAGCTAAACATAAGCTAAATAGCTAAATGCTAGCTAATTAGCTAACTAATGATTAATTGAACTTGGCCAGGAAAGGACACGGTTGACCGAGGTTCCAAAGCAGGGGCTTAGGAAGGGTCATTTGAAATTAGACAGCCTTCATCAAAACATGGAGTCAAGACTTAAAGTAGACACAAAGCCTCATAAAGATTTCCTCCCACATTTCTTTCAATGTAGTTTTAGTAACACATTTACCATTAAACATACAGTATGTCATTTCTGCCACTAGGCCAAAACAAAAATCAATCTTTATATGACAATGTGAAGTTGCTTGGGATCACTGGAGTTGTCGTCTTTATTGTGAAACCACCACTGCTCTAGTTTGGTTATGTAGTCACGTTCACCAACTTCCTTCGTCACTTCCTGACATATCCCGTTTTTACCCAGAAGTTACAGCAACTAGAGGAAAGTAGAGAAGGTATCACTACATGAATAAATCATTATTTTCTATTAGTTTCTATTGCAGATTTATACACTTAGCCATAATTTATTAGCCCTCAAACAGGACCCTGCTACTTGACTCTTTGACTCAGGGTTTAACCTGAACCAGGCCATACAACAATGATAGCGAAAATAAAGGTAAAGTAGTATACTCATATTAAGAAATAATACTATGTATATTATTATAATGCAAATGTATCAGATTGGTACATGGTATTGGCCGATACACAAAGTTCAGGAATCAGGATTGGTATCAGGAAAGAAAAATGGAATTGAAACATCACTAAGGATGTAAGTACACAACTCAACAAAGTATATAACATAGGTCTAGTGTTTATTATAATGTTCTACTTAAATGTCACTATATATAGAACTGTGTATTTACAATAAACTTGATTACTGATACTGATTATTAAATAGCACCCAGATGAAGCTATAGATGTACATTGAGTGCAGAAGTTGTTTGTTACAATCCAATAAGCCTACTGAGAGACAGTGATAAAGGGATGATCGAAAAAGAAAAAAACACAGAAGAGAGCAGGAGAGCGTCTCTATTAAAAGTCGAGAGCAACCAGCCAAACAGTTTCACAGCAATCAACGCAGCTTAAATTTCCCTTCGATTTTCTGCACAGGACGGGCGGCGGGGATTGATTTGTGCTACCCAGCCACAAACACACATAGACGAACCCTTCTGCTTTTTCTGTCTCTATTTCACCCTCACACAATGTTTTCTTCCAGTCTGTTTTGTGAATGCTCAGGGTATAGTCTGACCATTAACAGGCAGTGGTATCATGTCCTCTGAATTCCCTTAATGTTCTGCTAATGCTCTCTAACAGCCTTTAGCGGTAGACAAGATTGAAACATCAATTGTTGCTCCCGGATATGACTTAGTTTGTATATCTGTGTAGACTGCCTAATGACCAGATTGTGTGTGTGTTTGTGTGTTTGTGTGTTTTGTGTGTGAGCAAGGGTGGAGTGGCTAGAACCAAAGTTCCCTGGTGTACAGACATTATTCATGAGTCCGCTAAGTGCCTCATCCTTGATGGAGGAAAAGGCGAGAGCAATCTCCATCTTTATAGAAAGCATTCATGTTTTATTTACGTTACATTTTCCTTATTCAGAGCAACCTGCATTAAGCACATTAAAGTCAAATGTGACATTTTTTAATTTCCTGGCACTACAGTGGCTGTTTTTTTATACAGTGTGAACTGATGTACATGACACAAGTTTCACTTGCAGGACAGGAAATAAGGAACAGTTAAACTACAAGGAGTTTTTAACCAGTTCAGAAACCACAAAACAAACAAGACAATAAGTGAGAAGATTGGCTATTTCTATATAGTTATTCTTAATGCCTGCTAACATGTTGGATTTGGTCATATTCCCCTTGAAATCAGACTACAGAAAACACATGCATCTATGTGCATTATATGAGTCACTGTCACCAGAGGCTCTACATCTGTATCCAGACAGCACAGAAGGTAGCTTTTAATGCAAATCTGGATCAACCTGTTCTGTGTGGTCCAGGGTTTGGGTCTTTCTTAGCCTGGCTGTAGACTTCCTGTTGCTCGTGAGAGATAAATGGATTGAGACCTATGATGTGGAGCTAAGTCCTCAGGCTTGGCTTCTGTCTCTCAGATACGTAAGTGCAGAACAGGCTTAGGGAGGTTAGTAATTACGCCCCCTGACATCTCATTAGGGCTCCATCCATTAACACACACTGTAGTTTGCGGGGTGTGTCTGTTTGTGAATCATGCATCAGGGTCGAGAACATTTTTAAATTACCTTAGTATCTAATAATGCCTGGGCATTAACTAAAAGCCATTCCCATCACACCATTAGAAATTAATGTATTTTAGAATGAAATACTATTCCATTTATTCAAAAACAGTTCATAACTATTTACTGTAATACAATGTATGTTTAGGTTTTATGCTTTTTAAGTGCATCCATCTGAGTAATGTTAACTGCTGTTAAAGGTAGAAAACAATGTCAGATTGATGTGTGTGTTTGTGTTTTTCAGTGTGCAAATTCAAAGCCCATAAACGCTGCGCAGTCAGAGCCACTAACAACTGTAAATGGACCACCCTGGCTTCCATAGGGAAGGATATCATTGAGGATGAGGATGGGGTAGGTTTCTTTTTCTTGAAATCCATTTGAAAGCCTTTTTTGAAAGGCATCCATGTATTGAGAGTTTATCTTTGAGGCTGCCCAAAGTGAGGCCCGTGGGCCAAAGTTGGCCTGTCTTAAGATTAATTTTGGGCCGCCAGATGTTTCTAGTGAAAGAAAACAAAATATTAATTTAAATTATTACATTGCTGTTTCATGCGGTTATTTTCGTGAGTTAAAAATGCTTTTTAGATATGTAGGATCCCTAATCATGAATTGTTTTTCATAATCTGATGTAGTCCTAAGGGATCCTTGTGCAATTTTGCATTTCAACAATACAATACAACAGGTGTTTTGGCCTAGCTTCATTAAGTTACAGTTTTGGCCCACCAAAGGAAAATGTTTGGAACCTTTTTTTTTTAGTTTTATATAGAAAGTGGTTAAAATAACTGTCAGGAAAAAAATCTTGGATAATACTGAACACTGACTTGTATTGTTTGCCCAGTGTCAACAGAGAAAAGGGCTCCTAAAAGAAATTATAAAAGAAGACAGCGTATAAGTGTTCCATTTCTTCAACTGTGTGTGTTTGTGTGTGTGTGTGTGTGTGTGTCTGTGTGTGTGTGTGTGTGTGTGTGTGCGTGTTGAACCTCCAGATTGCCATGCCTCACCAGTGGTTGGAAGGCAACCTGCCTGTCAGTGCCAAGTGTGCCGTGTGTGATAAGACATGTGGCAGCGTGCTGAGACTGCAGGACTGGCGCTGCCTCTGGTGCAAAGCTATGGTAAGACATCTGTCACATGGATAAATTGTAAATTCCTGAATTACATTGCCATTTACAAGAAGACGGTTATTTGAATCATAATGAGAACATTTAAGTCAACAAAAGGCATAGTCTCAGCATTGAATGTGTCATATTTCAAAATGACCAAACTGTGTTGTTCATCATTTGCAGTATTTAAGCTTGTAACTGCAACTGTTGCATGCTGGCAGCCACAGTTAGGTAATAACATTTCATGAACATATGCCAGTCATATGGATTTTGGCTAATGTGGTCTGAGCTACCTTTCTTAGCCTGCTGCCACAGTGACCCGGAAGATTATTTATTAGAGCTGTCCCCGTAGTCAACTAGCAGTTGTTAATTAAATCCAATAGTTGACTAGTCGTCTAGATACAAATGAACTCAATTACAATTGCTACAAACTCATTCCTCTCGCTTCATGCCTCTCCTGTCCCTGCTTGAATCCGCTGTGTGTAGTCCTGGTCGGAGCCACTGTAAATCACCTGGTCCCGTCGGGGGTTACTGGGAGGTTACTGGGCTGGCTCTGTTGCCCACTCGCCCCAATCTGGCTATGGTGCTCTTTCTGGCCCCGGTTCGGGTACAGTCAGCTGACCACTAACTAGCTAGTGGCAGTAGTGAGAACAGTTTGGCAGTTACAGCGAATGCAGCATTGCTGTAAGAAAAAGAAAAGGTCCATGTTGCAATAATCCTGATACTTTAGTCCCGGTGACACGGCACAGCTTATCATTGTAAACACAGAGTCTGCGTACTCTTGTCCTGTGCTCTGTCAGATCAGAGGATCTGAGATGTTGATGGAGGTATGTGGACACAACAGTCTCTGTTTTACCGTTGATTGGCCAACCTGAGTCACATTTCATCAGGACTATCAGCCAGGAGCAGTCTTAAAACTCCTGATCAAGTTGTTTTAAACAATTTTGGCCTAGCCCAAATCCAGTCAGACATCATACAATGATGTTTTCAGCAATAGACGAAAGAAACAGAAATGTAGCAAAGCAATTACTAACCACTGCATCTGCATGCGCAGCTGTTGCCATGGCAAAAAGTACATCCATATAAAAGAAAAGATGATGAAGACTGGAATCTTCCATACATGTTTACATTGTATTTTCTGTGGTTCTTCTAGGTGCACACAGCCTGTATGGACCTGTATCCTCGCAAGTGTCCTCTAGGTCAGTGCAAAGTCTCCATCATCCCCCCTACCGCACTCAACAGCATCGACTCAGACGGTAGGCACCACACACACACACACAGTGCAATCACACTGACTCACTCAAAGGGTCAGAGGTTGATTCCTGACAGCACCTATGAGCAATCATTTCAGAGATTTCATCCCATTTTGTTGGCTGATGTCTTCTCTCTGAACTTTTGACCTTCTGCTCTGTGACATGAAAGAATGGTGGCAGGAGGGAGGAGAGGGAGAGGGTGATGATCTCTGTTCTCTTGTAAAGCTGGAGCCCGGGCTGGAAAACAGAAAGCAAAAGACAATATCTTTATCATTATTTGCCCTTCGGGTAATTGGTCTAATGAAATCCATACTTTCTTATTAGCTCCCTGCTAGTCATATGAGGTATTAGGGAGAGGCACAGGGCACCGGTATGTCTTCCAGGGAATTATGTGTTAAAAATAGCCATCACACACACAGGTCCACACACACCTGTCTGAGGGCTTAAAATAGATCTGCATCTTGAGACGAGATGCGTGTGTGTGAGCAGAATTATAATTGGATGCTTCCCAACTTGCTGAGAAAATGGACACACACACTTATCATTTCATGAGAGCGCACATCACGGAAGAAGAAAAGCTCTGCAGATGGCTTGAATGCACCCCGAGGCTCCCTTCAGACAAGAACAACATGATGTTGTCTGAGTTTTTGTTTTTCTTCATACATGAAGACTCTTTTTCTGTGTTCAGTGTGTGTGTGGGTGTGTGTGTGTGGGTGTGTGCATGTATGTGTGCCCTTGCCAGAGCCCACATTAAACCCATTTTAGATGGAGATCAGCACCTGTGAGACAGACTCAGATAAGCATGTGTGATTGGATTACTGTTGCCCAATCCAGTGGCTCTCTCTCTCACACACACACACACACACACATATGCAGTACACATACGCAGCCCACTGAGTCTGTAAAAAGCTGGCATTGGCTAATTGGTAGATGGATAAAAGAGAGGGAGAGAAAATGAGGATGGGGAATCCAGATGAAGGGAGGAGGATAAGACACAAAGAAAAAAAAGAGACATCCTTCAGCTCCCTCTTCCTCTCTTCTTCCTTCTCTCTCTCTGTATCTCCTCACGTTCCAGTACCCCCTCTGCCCAAATGCAGGCTGGGAAGAGGAGGGAGTTTGGTTGTAATTGGCTTGGGGGGAAGACTGTAGCATGTGCTGGTGCGTTGTGACTCCCTCCCTTCCTCCCTCCTTCTCTTCCACTCAACCCTCCCTCAATCCATCCTTCACTGACAAGATCACAGAGAGAGACATTCAGAAAGGAACACAAATTGAAGATGGTTGACAAAGAGATTAAGGAAGAAGTGAATGAGGATGCAAGGGGGGAAAAGGGAAAAGAGGGAGTGCCAGGAGGAGATAGTAGTGCTACACACACACGGTGGAAGCCCTAATATGCACGAAGCTGTAAATGCAGTGGGGGTATACAGATTATGCTGCAAGCACAGAAACCTCTTGTTGCATTACCTCTCACAGATTAGTGTATGTGTGTGTAGCTGGTTGTGAGTGTGTGTTCGTGCTCTACTATGAAGCAGAACACGTGTTTTTGGCATGTGCCGTGCCTCCACATATTATTACGCTCAGCCTCACGCACCTGATGAGGTCGTTTAACGATGCTTCCCACCAGCTTCTGCGTCTAGCTCTGCTGCTGTGGTTTGACTTATACCCTGGTTACTGGTTATAGAACCTTAAAGGATCGATATTACAAATGGTCCTCAAACTGTGGGGCAAATTGTAGCTGCTCACCTCACAAAGATTCTCAACTCCAGCCCTGTTGGTGCATAGACAGTACCTGAAGTGGACCAAAAAAGGTGCATGTACCCTAATTCAGCTCGACCCTAACTGTAAATACAACAAAACCCTAACCCTAATTCTTCTGTTCTAATTTTAATTCTAATTCTAATTTTACCCTTTTTAACCAAAATTGGGGGTCCGTGGCATGAACAGCACTGCAGTTCAGTCATTTATCACCAAAAAAACATATTTTTCTACTTACCCATTGTGTTATTTAATGCAGGTTGTCTTGGTTTTATTCACTGTTGTATCCAGTTGTTGGATGGAGCTGTATGAAGTTCAGTTTGGAGCAGATATTCACTTTTTCCCTCTCTGTTGCCAATTCTCCTCAGGTTTCTGGAAGGCCACCTGTCCCCCATCATGTGCCAGTCCCCTCCTGGTCTTCGTCAACTCCAAAAGTGGCGACAACCAGGGAGTGAAATTCCTACGACGCTTCAAGCAGCTCCTCAACCCAGCTCAAGTCTTTGACCTAGTCAATGGCGGGCCACACCTCGGGTGAGGAAAGCAGACAGAAACAGCTCACCAGATTCTGATGTGTATAGATGCAACCATAAATATATATGCATGGTTGACCAACAGAATAAGTGAATAGTGTTAAGTGTGTGTGTGTGTGTGTGTTTCTGTCAGTCTGCGCCTGTTTCAGAAGTTTGACAACTTCCGGATCCTGGTGTGTGGAGGCGATGGAAGCGTGGGCTGGGTCCTCTCAGAGATCGACAAACTCAATCTACACAAACAGGTACTGCGATAAGTATTAGTAGTATGATGGATACACTGTGATGTCAACAAACATTTTGTTACATTGGGCAGAACTTTAAATATTACTTTATTTAAATATTATATATCTATCTATCTCTCTCTCTCTCCTGTCTAGTATAGCCTAACCGGGTAACTATATTATATATATAACTATAGTGTCATATATATATATATATATAATTGCCTACTGTCATAAACATATAATGTAGATAATCATCTGCCTTTAATGCAGAAATTGCCAGAAGAGAGTAAGCTAAAGATAAAAACCAATGTGTCCTTGGTAAAGGTGCCAATTGAGCTTTTTTTTTCAGTGCCAGCTGGGGGTATTGCCCTTAGGCACGGGTAACGATCTGGCACGGGTGCTGGGCTGGGGTCCATCATGCGATGACGACACCCAGCTGCCTCAGATACTGGAGAAACTGGAGAGAGCCAGCACCAAGATGCTGGACCGCTGGAGCATCATGACCTATGAGATTAAGATCCCACCCAAACACAGCTGCCCCACCACGCCTGAGGGAGCCGACGACTGCCAGGTACTCACAGGAGTTGACAGATATTCACACGCATCGGTAGACACAATCAAACCCAGCAGGGCTTCCAGACAGACAGATGTGAGGAGGAAGTAGTTGAGCACATGCTGGAAATAGTGCCTGTCATTTTTAATTCACCCTCACCTAGGCTTAGGTTCAGAGCTCAGCTGAACAAAGAGTTTTTTCCCACAAACCCTAGTATCTATATATTTCTCTACGTTTCAAGCACTAACTGCTTTAAACATAACATAAACATGTTTACTTTCTGTGTGTTTCTCTCCAGTTTCACATTTCAGCCTATGAAGACTCAGTAGCTGCTCACCTCACAAAGATCCTCAACTCTGAGCAGCACTCTGTGGTCATCTCCTCTGCCAAGTGAGTGGTATTAGCAAACCAGCATGACCCCAAACAGGCGGAAAATAATCAACAACAATTTCAACAACTATTACCAGAGTTGATCAGTTAGTTTCCAGAGTGGGGTTTTCTCTAGTTTAGATTCTAATTGTTTCATATTTAGAGTTGTGTCTTAGTTTTTATTAGTTTCAGTATTAATGTAATTTTACATTTTTAATTATGATATATTTGTGCGAGGCAAGATTAAGGAAGTTCAGTTTTTTTTTGTTTTACCAGTAGCAAAAGGGAACTACAACCTAAATTTCATTATATAACCTTGCATTGTTAAATGACAATTAAAATACCTTGTATTACTCTTTTTATTATAATATATAGAATAGGTATTACAGTACAATCACACTCAGTCATGTAGACATCCCAGTCTCAATTAACAAATGCGCCAATGCTTGTTGTGTTGACTAATTTGACCAAATTGACAAATATTAAAACTAAAGACATTTCCTGTATATTTTTATTTTATTCAGCTATGAACACAATATTGTTTCAGTTAGTTTTTGTTAGTTTTTTTCTAAAATCTTGTTTTGTCTTCACAAATAAAGACGTATTTAAATGATGGTACAGTTCTTATAGGTGATACCGCGCTGAAATAAATTTTTATGGTATATTGTTGAAAGCAGAGCTGTAAACTCTGTAAGAGCTGTAACTTGTGCAGGGTCTTATTTTAAGAAGTCTAAAATCCAATAATCTTACATTTAGGCCTTAAAACATCTTAAATATAATTTTGACAGGATTTTAAACATTTAAAATTGATTGGATTAATAAAGTTAGCATAACTTGCATAAGGAGGCATTTTTCAGTTTCTTTTAAATGTGTTTTGGAGAACAATTTGTATTGATCATGCTGTAACAATTACAAAACAAAACCAATATGGAAACAGTACAGATTTTCCTTCATATCCATCTTACCTGTTTTTGCCAGTATGGATGTAAAATAGATCTTAAATTGCATTCATAATGAATGTTACAAAAAGAGTGAAATTTGAATCGGCTTAGTCTTAACAACAGCCATCTGACTGATTTCATTGTTTCTTTCTTCGTGTATTACGCCAAGACACACTCATGTTTTCCTTCTGTTTTTTAGGATCCTGTGTGAAACAGTAAAGGATTTTGTTGCCAAAGTGGGAAAAGCTTATGAAAAGAGTACAGAGAACGCTGAGGAGTGTGATACAATGTCTCTCAAAGTAAGCCTCAAAACCAACGCACACAACATCCGTCACCGGCCTGTGCTGAAAGGCCTCTCCCCGTGTATTCAATTTGCCATCTTTTAAATGCAGCCACAGCACTCTATCCAGCCTGTGCTTGTGTCTCCCCTCAGTGTGCCATCCTGAACGAGAAACTGGACTCCCTCCTCCAGACCCTCAACGCAGAGTGCCAGGCCCTGCCTCCACTGCCCCACTCCACCCCTCCCATTGTGGAGGAGGAGCAGGAAGAGGAGGAGGAAGAAGAGGAGGCCAGCGAGGACAGCCTGACGGAGCTGAAGGAGAAGCTGGAGGAGGAGGAGACGGAGAAAGGAGGAGTGGGTTCCTCACACCAGCTGTTCAAAAGCAGGGAGCAGCTGATGCTCAGGGCCAACAGTCTGAAGAAAGCTGTGCGACAGATCATAGAGCAGGCCGAGAGAGGTAACACACACCTTTTGTTAGTTATTGTGGAGGGATTTTTACCCAACCTTTTCTTTTCATGCTAGTTTTCTTATTTTATCTTCTTTGGAAATTGTATGAGATGCATATTTTTGTGATTAGAAGGCTGAAATTAATGTTTATGTTAAGTAGAATTTCTTACCATCATGCAAAAGGTAATCTGCCTTATAATGACCTCTGTTTTTTGGTCAGTGGAGATATTAAGATGCCAGATTTGATGTCAACAGATGAAAATTAGCTTTTAGCTATATGTGGTACAATACATGTATTGTGCCTTGTCCCTGCTAAATAAACATACAAGTAAAGACGAAAAGTGTAATTAAACATGCTCATTTCACTTACTTACTTCACCTACAATATACACTGATCAGCCGTAACACTGTGAGCACTGACAAGTAAAGTGAATAACACTGATTATCTGGTTTCATGGCTCCTGTCAGGGGTGGGATATATTAGGCTTCAAAAGAACATTTCATGGGTTAGAAGCAGGAAAAATGGGCAGTGTGAGGGTTTGAGAGACTTGACAAGGGGCTGCAGAACATTCTGACCACAAGCGGCCAAGGTGGTCAGAATGTTATCGGTCTCTGTTTGTACAGGCAGCTGCAAGTGGGAATAAAACCTATGGGGAGAAGCAAAGAATGGCACCTGTGTGGGTATATAACTATCAGCAAGCACACAAAGCAGCCACCACACAAGAGAGACTTTCTGCTTGGCGAGCACTGGATAGTATACACACTCTTTTATCTGAAGCAACTTTATTTATAAAACATAGATGATAAGGCTACAGTGACAAACTGCACAATTTAAGTAAGGTTTCCTGAAATGTATACAACACAAGCTTGTATAACGAAATGAGAGTTTGCAGTTCCTTCATGCTACACACATAGGAAAAGATAGTTAAATTCATAGAATAACATAAAAAAATAAAAAAATAAAATAAAATAAACCAAAATATACCGTTATGACATATACATATACATACAAAACAAAATAGTGATGATAATATGGTTTCACCTTCACATAAAATGAAACTGTCCATCCAGTTTCACTGCGTTTGAGCACCAAGCATCATCGATGTAAACACAGAGTCTGCCTCTATGTGTTACAATAAGCCTAAAAAATGATGTAATGCATACTGTATTGTCTTAATCATTCATGTGTTTCCTCCATTCAGTGGTCGATGAGCAGAACGCCCATACAGACGATAGCGAGCTGCCATCTCCCCTGGAGTTCAGAAAGGACAGTGAGGAGGAGAATAGAGACAGCGAGAAGGATGAGGATACTAAGGAACTGGAAGCAGTGCCATGTAAGTGCGCCGCTACTTCTTCTGCTGTTTCAAATCCCTAAACTGCCTAGTCCCGTTCCAAATCCGTGAACCTGCTGTTAAAACTTTTACCTGCTTGGCTCTGATGCATTTCCTTTCTGGGCCATTTCCAAAACACTTAACCTGTCGGATTTCCAAGTCTTCCACTGGGCCAGCTGGCATTGTTCTCAGTGACTGTCACTTAAAAGACATTTTCTTTAGTTAGAGGTTGAGGCCTTCTTTAGATAGGCCTCAAACATTGAGTTGAGTAGAATTTAGAAAGCTAATGGATGAAAGAAGAAAACATTACCACATTATTCCTATCATTTAGGAATGGGGATAGACAAAGATATAAAAGTCAGTTTTGTTCTCTGTCAATGGTAAACAGAAGATGTTACTGAAAAAAAGGTCTAAAAGATGATTATTCTACTTTGAAGAGCATAGATGCAATATGAGGTCACACACGATTTAGATGTTGCCACCTTGTGGACATTGCACTTCCTGCACCACAGAAAAGCAGACACATAGCTAATGGAAAAAGAGTGCTGCTGACGCAAATCATGTTTCCTGTCATAAATAAACTCAAGGATCAGTGGTAAAAGTGCAGGAGAAAGCTTGCTCTCCTGTGATGTTCCACCTCTTGCTCCAGGCTAAGCTGTTTATCTCTCCATCTTCGGTCTCCACAGCAGTCTGTGACAATGGAGAACTTTCTATAATAATAAATGATTGTACCTGTCGACACCGTGCTGGTTGGGCAGCCATAAAGTCTGTTTATGTGTGTGTGAATATGTGAAGCTTTGTATGTGGACACACATGCATGTTACTGAGTGTAAACGTCTAGTGTGCCTCTGTAAGTGTGTGTGCATCAGCCACAGGATGTGTTATTGTCTTAGGGGCAGAAGTTCTTCCTGTTTATCATGGGGCTATTTCCTTCCTTCCACTCATTTTCCAGCAGTTGGAAGACTAGGAGGTATCAGTCAAACCCTCTGCTACGCATCCTCTCCTTGCTTCCTCTTATTTCCTCCTTACTCCTTTCTGACCTGGACAAAAATAAAAAAAGACACACTGAGCAAGTAGAGGACGTGAAGAGCAGGGATTGTGACTCGCAGTTTGGGCGAATCCATCTTTCAGTAAGCGTCCCAGTCTTCCAGTCTTGCACAGATTTGTTTCCACATAGAGGATTTTCGTGATGTCGATGTGAGAAAAGTTGCTATGTGGCAAAATACACAGTGTTCAGAAGCTGTGGATTCACATGGAAAAATGCATGACTGCTGAAAGCTGAAGCTATACTGACTCAGGAGGTGTGTATCACTACCTAACTAAGCATGCAAATTTGTAAATAAGGCAAACCTCTCAGTCAACTGGAATATATGTTAAATCTAGTGCTGGGCAACGATTACAATTTTTTATTGCAATAAATCGCATAATTACGCAAAGTTCAATAATGAATTCAAAAGTAGTGTATTGCGCACTTTTATTTTAAAAGTACTGCTATATGAACAAAAGTACAATAACATTTGGTCTGCACTTATACACAACTTTACACTTTAAACAAATAGGTTGCTTTTTAACGGCAGTATTCCCTTTACACAGTAGCAGTAGTGTCTGTGCTAAGTGTGCTGACTTTATTTGAAACGTTCCTCTGCTGTGCAAGCAATTCATTACAGTAGAGCATGTGAATGCAGCTCCCACTGTCCATCAATATAATGCACTGTAACACAGAGGTAACTATGGTTACCCAGCGA